GGGGGGGTGGGGGGGGGGGGGGGGGGTGGAGAAAGGGGCCCACCACGGGCCTGATAGGGTCGCAGGTAGGGGCACGGGGCCGGGGCCGCAGGTAGGGCGACGGGCCGCAAGTAGGGCGGCGAGGCCGCGACAGTGAGGGCGGCGGGTGGGCCGCAAAGGTAGGGCGGCGGGTAGCCGCGAAGGTAGGGCGGCGGGTGGGCCGCGAAGGTTGGGCGGCGGGTGGCCGCGAAGGTGGGGCGGCGGGTGGCCGCGAAGGTAGGGCGGCGGGTGGCCGCGACGGTAGGGCGGCGGGTGGCCGCGAAGGTAGGGCGGCGGGTGGGCCGCGAAGGTAGGGCGGCGGGTGGCCGCGAAGGTAGGGCGGCGGGTGGCCGCGAAGGTAGGGCAGCGGGGCCGCGACGGGTCCCCATCGCCCGTCGCGGCGCCTCCAGAAGGCGACGCGACGAGCGACGGGGCAGACACCCGCCGCGTGCCTCGGGGCGCACAGCGGGCAGAGAACCGCCGCGCGCATCGGGGCGCACGGCGGGGAGAAAACCGCCGCGCGCCTCGGGGCGCACGGCGGGCAGAAAACCGCCGCGCGCCTCGGGGCGCACGGCGGGAAGGAAAGCGTTGCAGCGGAAGCGAGGTGGTAACCCACCCACAGGATCGATCCAAAGGGATCGACCTGCTCTGATAGCATGACAAAATTAGAAGAAAGAAGAGGGTTGAACTAGCAGAAATGGGGATACAAATAGCAAACCCTAGAAGGGTTGTACTCGCTATAGAGCACCCTACTACAGGCTAGAACATAAGATAATATTCTGAAATGTTATGCCCGATAGGAAGGATGACTGACTTGGATTTATTCGTTTGCAGCCCTGACAGACCAGCGAAGAACTCGAGCAGCTTCTCCGCCCTGGCGATCTGCCCCTTCCCTTCCAGGAATAATGTTGTGTCATCGGCGTACCCGACATATGCTAACCGTTGATTCGCCATGTTGCAGAGACCTAGCTTCCTCCGGACCGCTTCCTGCGCCAGTGGCTCCACCGCACAGAGAAACAGGTATGGGGCCAGTGGACAGCCTTGCCGCACCCCCAACCTGACTTCCACTGCTTCACCGAGCCAACCATTTATCAACAACCTCGTCCTGGTGTCCTTGTGCAGGCCTTCGACCCAGCCAACGAATCTCTCCGGGAAGCCCATCTCCCTGAGGACTGTGAACAGGAAGCTGCGTGACACCGAGTCGAAAGCCTTCCGAAAATCCACCAGCAATATGTACCAGTCCTTGTTCCCCTTCTTCGCTGCCTCAAACACGTCAGCGACAACCCCGATGGCATCCGAGATCCTCCTTCTTGGAATAAAACCGTACTGTTCCGCCGAGATCACCTTATGCAGGTGCTGCTTCATCCGGTTCGCCACCACACGCGCCAACACCTTGTAAGTGAAATTTAGAAGCGTAATCGGACGGTAGTTGTCCAGGTTGTCCTTCTCCCCTTTCTTGTGCAGCAGAATGGTGACGGCTTCCTTAATGCTTGCAGGTAATGACGCAGTGTCAGCGAAGGACTGTGCCATTCGAAGGAATTCTCAGCCAAGAATGTCCCAGTTCTGCTCGAAAAGCTCCTTCGGGAGCCCGTCCTTACCCGGCGACTTCCCGTTCGCAAGTGCCTTAAAAGCCTGCTTCACCTCCGCCTCCGACCAGTCTGCTGCCAGTCCTTCTGCTGCAACCGCGTCCAACTTCCTGCCCGTGAGAGGTCTCCATCTTGCCGAAGATGTCCGGCCGTCCGTGCCGAAAAGATCAGTGAAATATTGAGTCGCAGCTTTCAAAATCCCAGGTGAGTCTGATATCTTAGAATCACAGACCACCAGCTCCGTTATCTGCGTTTTCTGCTTTCGAACCTTGACCCGTGCTGAGAGGAAGGGGGAGGGGACCTCTCCAGCCAGTTCTGTGTTTGTCCCTGTCATCATGTGAAGTCTGTCTCTCCGCGACGCATGATACTCCTTCAGCTGTGTATCTCTGATATGAAGCAGATCTCTCGTTTTTTTACACCCAGGGCTCCTCATCTGCTCCTGATGAAGCTCCGCCACCACCTCTGCAAGATGAGCCGTTGTACGCTTAACCCGTTTGCTCTCCTGCTTCATATAGGAACGAAGACCGGCGTTGAGTCTGCCCAGGAGCAACTCAAAATCTCCTTCGCCACCAGCAGCTGCCTTCTCCAGAGCGTTTAGGGTTTAGGGAAGACTCAACGCAGGGCTACGGTACTATATGAAGGAGCAAAACAACGCCTCATCTCGCAGAAGTGGTGGCTGAGCTCCATTAGGAGCAGATGAGGAATCCCGGGTGTCAAAAAACAAGGGACCTGCTTCACATCAGAGATACACAGCTGAAGGAGTACTACGCGTCACGGAGAGACAGGATTCACGTGATGACAGGGACAAATACAGAGTTGGCTGGGAAAGTCCCCTCTCCTTTCCTCTCAGCACGGGTCAAGGTCCGGAAGCAGAAAACGCAGATAACGGAGCTGGTTGTCGAGGACTCTAAGATCTCTGACTCACATGGGATCCTGAAGGCTGCGACCCAGTGTTTCACCGATCTCTTCGGTACTGATGGTCGGACATCGTCAGCAAGGTGGAAACCGCTCGCCGGCAGGAAGCTGGACGCGGAAGCTGCGGATGGGCTGGCAGCAGACTGGTCGGAGGCAGAGGTGAAGCAGGCTTTCAAGGCGCTTGCGGATGGAAAGTCCCCGGGGAAAGATGGGCTCCCGAAAGAACTTTTTGAGCGGAATTGGGACATTCTTGGCGGGGAGTTCCTTCGAATGGCACAATCATTTGCTGGCACCACGTCATTATCTGCAAGCATCAAAGAGGCTGTTACCATCCTGCTCCACAAAAAGGGGGAGAAGGAAAACCTGGACAACTACCGTCTGATTACCCTTCTGAATTTCACGTACAAAGTATTGGCGTGAGTGGTGGCGAACCGAATGAAACAACATCTGCATAAGGTGATCTCGGCGGAACAGTACGGGTTCATCCCCGGTGGAAGGATCTCGGACGCCATCGGAGTGGTTGCTTACGTGGTTGAGGCGGCAAAGAAGGGGAATAAGGACTGGTACATGCTGTTGGTGGATTTCCGCAAGGCCTTCGACTCTGTGTCACGAAGCATCCTTTTCTCTGTCCTCAGAGAGGGGGTTCCCGGAGAGATTCTTTGGCTGGGTGGAAGGCCTGCACAAGGACACCAGGACGAGGTTGGTGATAAATGGCTGGCTAGGCGAAGCAGTGGAAGTCAGGTCGGGGATGCGGCAGGGTTATCCGCTTGCTCCCTACCTTTTCTTCTGTGCGGTGGAGCCCCTGGCGCAAGAAGCAGTCCGGAGGAAGCTGGGTCTCTGCAACATGGCAAATCAACGGTTAGCATATGTCGGTTATGCCGACGACACAATGCTATTTCTGGAGGGAAAGAGGCAAATCGCCAAAGCGGAGAAGCTGCTAGAGTTCTTCGCGGGCCTGTCAGGGCTGAAGACGAACAAATCATAGTCAGTCATTCTCCCGATCGGGCATAACATCGAGAGGAGGCCCAGAACGCTCGGCGGTTTTAAATGGGCAAAGGCGGACGAAGCTGAACGTGTTCTGGGGGTCTGGGTTACCCCTTCTGGAAGCAGCGAGCCGACCTGGAAGCGGGCATTTGAAAAAGTTATTGTGGAGTTAATCAGATGGAAAGCGCTCTTCCTCACGATTGCGGCTAGATGTCAGAATCCCAACCTCTAGACCATTGGGATAAAGGGCTTGTTTAAGTAGCGGGTCAGTGCGCCCATAACCCCCCCAGGCCAACATGCCTGTAACCCTTCCCTAGGGTCAATCGGGGACCAGTGGACCTCTGACACCCCCCCGCACTGGGATGCCCGAAGTGCACACACCGGGATTCGAACCCAAGACCTTTTGCTCTGATACCATGTCAAAATCCCAACCATTAGACCATTGGGATAAAAGGGTCTGTTTAAGTAGCGGGCTAGTGCGCCCATAACCCCCCAGGCCAACATGCCTGTAACCCTTCCCTAGGGTCAATCGGGGATCACCAGTGGACCTCTGATACTAGAGTGGTGATTATCAATAGCTACATCACACCACGGATTGCTTATCAAGAGCAGGTCTACCCACCGACTGAGGAGATCTGGAAAAGGCTTATGAAGCCGATTCATAATTTCCTGACGGGGAACAACGCAACGGCTGAAAAATGATTTGTCCTATGGAACTGGGGCCTTCTTACCACGCCGAAGACTGATGGAGGGTTGGGGATGCTGGATCCCGAAATCTTACTTGCCTGCCTTGCCGCGAGACGTATTGGAGGGCTACTGCTGGAGGAGAATGGGATGAAAAAGGAAATCATGCTCACAGCGGCCGGTCTTCCGCTCGGAAAGGACACTTTCCTGGCGCATGCAAAGCTGTTGAAACACTAGCCGGGGGATGGGGAGCGCTAGAAACGTGCAAGCGAAACCTTCATGAAATCTCCTATCGCCGACACCGGGAAATCTTGTACCAAAGAAGAGGTGGCGCAAGAAAGGGTGGTTTTCAATCGGAAGCTGCTGCTCAATGGTACAAACCCGATTGGGGGGCAAAAGGAAGCGAAATGTGATGTGCGCCTCGCGTAACGCGTCATCTGCGTTTCAGCCAGAGTCGCACGCGTAACCGAATTCAGTAACCGTCACCGGAACCGAAACCCGTTTGTCCCTTCCGCACCGAACACGGTTCGGTTTCGGTTGGACATTCTAGGCTTCGAAAATGTCTTCTCGACATTTCCCGAACCCTATTTCTCAGTCATTCCGTTTTCCCTTACTTTCCTCACGTTTTCCTCTCGTAACTACTTAGCATGCAGGCCCACCGTTCTAGGTACCGGTTCCCCATATTAGGTCATAGTTCCCACCGTTCCTAGAGTTCTTCTACCATCCCTAGGTCAGGCGCGCAGGCCGGTAGACACTAGGGCAGTGGCAAACCACCCTAACAATCTCCCCCGTGGTTTGCCAGCTGCCACCCTCCTATGCTCCAGTGGTTACAATATAACCCACCTTCTTCTTCCCTTGCTGATCCCAACCGTAAGGTGGTGTAGTATCTCGTGTTGCTGCTCCGCTGCTCCCTTGCAAGTCCTTGAGGGTGCGCATGCTGACAAAATACTTGGAGAACTCGAATTTTGCCTTCGGTAGCACGTTGGTGAGGAAATCTGCTGGCTGCTCATGTGTTCCCATGTGCACGAAGGTGAATGCCTTCTTCTGTAGCTGCTCCTGTACCCAATGGTACCTCACGCTCATGTGTTTCGTGCGCCCATGCCAGTTGTCGTTTCGTGCGAGGTCAATCGCTGATTTGCTGTTCGATTTGATTGTTGTAGGTCCTTCCACTTTGACCCCCATCTCTTGAAGTAGGCCCCTCAGCCACACACCCTCTTGGCATGCATAAAACAACGCCATGTATTCAGACTCCGCGGTGGACAGAGCGACGTTGGTGAGCTTCTTGGCTTGCCACATGATTGCCGTACCGCCAAGGAGGTAAACATAGCCATAGGCCCCCCTCCCATCCTTCTTGTCTGATCCGTGTGAGGCGTCAGCGTACCCCACTAGCTCTAGAATCTCCTCTCCCCCTTCAAACAGCAGCCCCTCATCATCCCCTTGCAAGAGGTAAGTGATGGTCCGCTCAATTTCCTTCCACTTGCGTCCCTCGGGGTGCAACACCCTCTGTCCAAGAAAGCTTGCAGCATAGGCCACATCAACCCGTGTGCATGACACCAGGTACATGACTGAGCCTACCATGGATTGGTAAGCTTTGAGCGCTCTCTCCCTATTGCCCCATGCCTCAATTTCTTCTCTCACATCGACCTTCTTGTCCGCAAGGCTGCTGAGAGGTGTTGTCACTGGTTTAGTCTTGCAATGCCCTCCAAACCTCTCCCGCAACCTCTTAAAGTACTTCTTCTGGTATAGCAGCAACTTCTTCTCCTCCCTATTCCTCTCTATGTTCATTCCAAGGAAGAGAGTGGTCCTTGGAATCTTCTTCACCTGAAATACAGCTGCGAGGTGAGTGCACACCTCCTCCACCTTCTCCTCCTTTGCTCCAGCCACTAGGAAATCAACCACGTAGAGGAGTAGGAACACCTTGTTTTCCCCCTCTCCCTTCCAGTAGAATGCACGGTCACATTGGCTCTTGATGAACCCCCCCTTTTCCAGCTGCGCGTCCATGGCTAGGTACCACTCCCGTGGGCTTTGTTTCAGCCCATAAAGTGCTTTGATGAGCTTGCACTTTCTGTCCGTGCCGTCCTCACACCCTGGTGGCTGATTCATGTAGATAGTCTCCTTCAAAATGCCATAGAGAAAGGCATTTTTTATGTCCAGCTGCACCATGAAGTACCCGCGTGCCATCACCACCTTTAGCATGGTTCTTGCCGTTGTTAACTTGCTAACGGGTGCGTAGAGTTGGTCGTAGTCCTCTCCTTCCACCTGAGTGTAGCCTTTAGCCACAAGTCGTGCGTTGAAACGCTCATGTTGTCCCATGTCTCCTGTTTTGATCTTGAAAATCCAGCACACTCCCACTGCTTTCCTCCCCTCGGGCATGTTCACAAGATCCCATGTCCCCCTTTCAGCCAAGGTATCAAGTTCCTCCTGGATTGCAGCCCTCCATTGCTCCTTGTTTGGTCCGGACAGTGCCTCTTCAATGGTGAGAGGCTCGGTGGGCAGCTTGTAGCTTTCCACCTTCCCCTTTGATAGAAGTGCCGTTGCCGTAGTGGTAAGGAGGAGGTGGGTGTGAATGTCCCTGCAGCAGGTCAGAAGCATTTGGGCATACTTGGGGTTGGGTTTCTTGACCCGTTTCCCTTTGCCCATCTCCTCATTCTCATTTTCAGCTCCACATTTCTCTGCTGCTGCATTATCATCCGTTCCTTGTTGCACGGAATCTCCTTCAATCTCTCTTCCGATGACGATCGCTCCGTCCACAAGTAGGTCTTCAATCTCTGCTGCCGCCTTTTCATTGTCCCCCGTGTCAATGATGCGCCATGGGTCGGAGTACCCCGTGCTGGCAGATTCAGCCACACTCTCTTCCACATCTGAAATCTCAGCTTCTTCCTCACCGGCTTCATTCGTTGCACTGTCACCCGCTTCTTCTCCCTTATCATTTTCTTCTTCACCCTCTTCCACGGCAGTTGAAGGTGAGGACAGCTCCTGAACCTCCCACACCCAGTCGAAACCCGGTGTAGTGTGGTCTTCGTAGTCGTCATTGTCACCGCTTCCATTGGCTGCCCCTATCCCCTCCTTCTCACTCCCATCTATCATATCCTCCACTGGAGTTGGTGCTGCTGCCGATTCCTTTGCAAAAGCTCCTTGTTTCCGTCCCTTCCACTCCAAGTAGGTGTCCTGCTCGTAGAAGGTAACATCTCTGGTCGCCGTGACTTTTCCGGTCTCCACATCACGTATCACCCACCCTTTGCTCTCCAGGCAGATTCCCAAGTGAATTCCCCACTTGGTCCTAGGGAGAAGCTTGTGATCGGGTCCCGCCGCCTCTCGGTATTGCGTCATGCAGCCCCAAACACGTAAGAACTCCAGATTCGACTTCCTCTTGTAGAACGCCTCGTGAGTGGTAGCGTCCGCCGCTAATCCCTTTGTCGGTAGCCGATTTTTCAGCCAACATGACATGCCTAGTGCATCTCCCCAGTAGTGAAGGGGCAATTTTCTGTCCGCGAGCAAGCTCCTCACACCCTCCAGCAGTGATCGGTTCACCCGCTCCGCAATGCTGTTGTGTTGAGGAGTGTACGGAACCGTGAGCTGCCTTCGTATCCCCTTTGACTTCAGGTAGGTGTTGAGCTGGGCGTTGACGAATTCTCCCCCGTTATCCGTACGTAACACTTTCAGCTTCTTGCCGCTTTGCCTTTCCGCTTCCGCTTGCCAATCGAGAAAGCTTGTGAAGACTTCTGACTTGTTCTTGATTTCAGTCACCCATGTGTGTCGTGTGCCAAGGTCGGTGAAGGTAACGAAATATTTGCTGCCATGTCGTGAAGCCACTCGCATCGGTCCACATACGTCGGCTGCCACAATAGCCATTGTCTCGTATGGCTCACTGACTCCATGCTTGGGATGTGGTGCCTTTGTTGCCTTTGATTCCACGCAAGTGCTGCACTTCAGATTTTCCTCTCCACCCTCGGCTACCTTCACTCCTGCTGCCATGTTCTTCTTGACCAGCTGCTTGATTCGAGTGTGACCAGCGTGCCCCATCCTCCTGTGCAGCAGGTTGACGTCCACCGTGCTCACTGCTGCAGCCATAGGAAGTGCCTGCTGCTGCAGCTCCTTGATCGGAACTTTTTTCAGCTTGGTGCGTAGCTCATCTCGTGCCACCTTGCTCGCTTCCGGTTCAGCCATGTACGTGGGCTTCTCCCCAGTCTGTTTTTTGTGCAGCTTCATCTCGTACAGCCCTTGCTTGCGTGATCCTTCCGCTATCACCTTCCAATCTGAACCGAACACCCATATGCTGCCCTTGTCACTGAAAGTCTTGCACCCACCGTTGTCCAACTGCGATTGGCTTATGAGGTTGCGTGTGAGCTTGTCCACCAGCAGCACGTTGTCCAGCTTCACCTCACCATAAGCACTTTGCAGCACTAGATCTCCTTCCCCTTTCACAGGAAGTTTCCCCTCGTCTCCCAACAGCACGTACGGGATCGGTGATGCTCTGAAATTTTGCAGCCACTCCTTCCGATTGGTCATGTGTTGGGTACATCCACTATCCATGTACCACTCCTTGTCTTTGAGGCCCTTTGCAAGCAGGCATGCTCCGGATGCTCTTGCAACATTGGCCTTGTGGGCTCCCCCGAGGATGACGTCGTTGTCGCTGGTTTCCGCTTCGGTGGTGTTGATCTTCACAGGTACGTGATTCCTTTGCTGCTGCTGCCCTCCCCTAAAGCTCTTGCTCATCGGGTTACTGTAGCAATCGATTGCCTTGTGACCAAATTTCCTGCAGTGGTTGCAGTTTCCAGCAAATCCGCCTCTCTTTCGTTGTCCTCCTACGCTTGTTCCCTCGTTGGCAGATTGCCTTACTGCTGCCGTACCTCTGAAATTCTTGCTTCTTGGGTTGGAGTAACACTCGGCAGCCTTGTGCCCTGTCTTCCCACAGTGGAAGCAAACTCCGAATGATTTTGCTGCCCCAGTTGCGTTCAACATCGCATGTTTGTCGTTGCTGAAGTTGTCCGGCAGCGCCTCCCTTTGCTCTTCCTCAGCACGTATGAGCGCAACGTCTTGAAGGGACTCCACCAGGTCCGTCATGTCCGTGGGGCGTCTGCAGGCCAGCATCCGCTTCTCTGCTGCCCATGATTTCGGTAGGCCGCCAATGATGTAGCTCATCATTTGCTTCTCCGATTCAGGCACTCCCATAGCCGTCAGGTCGTCGTTGTAGCCTTTAGCACGGCCCACGTAGTCCACCACCGTCAAGGAAGTTTCCATGGCCAGCAATATGAGTTTCGTCCTCACTGCTGTCATCTTTGTCTCGCTTTTCCCGATGTACACTAGTTCCATGTATGCCCACGCCTTCTCTGCTGCGTTGTCCTCCTCAGAGAACGGGTCGAGTCGTGCTGCGATTGAATCCGAGACCGAATGGCAGAGTTGAAAGAAAGCTTGTTGGCTTCTTTTCTTAAACGCTTTTTTTCTCTTGTGCGGTTGCAGGTGCAGGTCCATCTTCCTCCGTCGCTGCCTCAGGGTTGTAGAAATGCCACAAATCTACCTCCCGGGCGCGTCGCATGAACTTCAGCCTCCATGTGCCGTAGTTCTCTCCATTGAAGCGTTGAGCTTCACTTAGGCCAATTGTCAGTTTGGCCACGATTTGCCCCTTGGCAAGGGCATCGAGTAGACTCTGCAGCTGCGCACCGTCAGTGTTCACTAAAGACCCTGAAGTGGTCTCTCCATCTCCTTTTCCCATGTCGTTGAATATTCGCCCTCTCCAATTACTCTAAAAAAATATAACGCCTCCAAGGCTTTTATAATGAGGCTCGACGCGGCGATGACCAAGCTCTGATACCAGCTCTAAGTTTAGGTACAGCCTCCGGCTAGCGTTGGAGATTAGTAGTCAATTGGAGAAAATTCTGGTGTTCTGGTGCAATTTTCACTGAAAACAGAGAAGTACAAACAATTGATTGAAAACGAACACATTTAAGCATTTCGAAATGTGATGTGCGCCTCGCGTAACGCGTCATCAGCGTTTCAGCCCGAGTCGCACGCGTAACCGAATTCGGTAACCGTCACCGAAACCGAAACCCGTTTGTCCCTTCCGCATCGAACACGGTTCGGTTTCGGTTGGACATTCTAGGCTTCGGAAATGTCTTCTCGACATTTCCCGAACCCTATTTCTCAGTCATTCCGTTTTTCCCTTACTTTCCTCACGTTTTCCTCTCGTAACTACTTAGCATGCAGCCCCACCGTTCTAGGTACCGGTTCCCCATATTAGGTCATAGTTCCCACCGTTCCTAGAGTTCTTCTACCATCCCTAGGTCAGGCGCGCAGGCCGGTAGACACTAGGGCAGTGGCGAACCACCCTAACATAGGAGAATTGGTACGGCTTTCTGGCTGCATGCAAGAGTGTACATGAGGGTGACGGGTGCGAAATGCCTAAGGTCGAGCAAGTCGGGGAAGCATAAGAAGGTTAAAAGTGTTTTTGAAGCGGAGCAGAAAATGACGTCGAGGATCAGGGAAGACGGCGACAAAAAATGGAAGTGGAAGGCCAGCTTTGCAGCAATCTGGAACAGGCCAAGGAGGGATTTCTTACCGCCCTAGATACCTTGCTGGGAAGCTCAAGGTGTCTGCCCTCACGATCAGTTATGACTGCTATTGTTGTATGCATTGGCCTCATTAATGTATACTCCAATTACCAAAAAAAAAAAAAAAAAAAAAAAACCCAAGTTTCACGCTGAGGGTGCTCACTCTCTTGCTCCTCTTGTCACCAAGCTGAGTCGAGTTCGATGGCGACGGTGGCCGCAAGGCTGTTGGAGGAGATCATGAGCATAGGAAAAAGATTAGCCGTTCGATTTGACGATGCCAGGAGGGAGTTGGAAGCGGAAAAGCGACCGAGGAGAGAATTTACGGAGAGCCCAATGTTGACTACCAAATTGGAGAGTCTGGAGGCAATTTTGAGAGAAATGAGGGAAGAAAACAATAAGAGCATAAGCGAACTTAGGAATCAACTAGCAGTTGAGAGGGCTGCAAGGGAGGAGAAGGATAAGTAGGTCGCTGGACTGACAGTGCGACTCTCGAAGGCAGAGGAATTGCTGTCGCATCAGAAGGACAAAACGTGCAAGATCTGGGAGGTGAGGGGAAACGTTTCTTTGAGCGTGTTATTTGAACGTGAATAGAACGACGTTTACTCATTCCAGGTTTAGCGTTTTCGTGTGATGCGTTGATTCAGGCGATTTCTCAGGCTTTGTGCCAGTCGACAATTGGTGCCATTGTTCAGGATGAAACTCAGGATTCAAACAACGATAAGGAATCACTTTTGTCCACATTGGTAGCACAATCGGCGTTGGCCGTAAAAGCCCTGGAGCAGCAAAGAGAAGAAACGAAGAAGGTCTGGGAGGTGAGAAGTTAGCTTGTTGGTGCTTGTGTCTGAAGATTACTCTTTTTTGTCTCTCTTCCGGGCTAATCTTCAAGGTACTGATGTTTCCAGGCTATTTATCTGACTTCAAAGCACCGATCATCAAATGGGCTAGCGACCATTGCAGATACGAAGATCATCCATGCTCCTGCAGACACTACGGTATTGCAGCTCAGCAACAACGATGGGCCTGTTAGTGACCTTGGACTTTCTCACCTTCTGTACTTGGCATCCCTGAAGAACCTCCATCTATTTTCTTATATGAACGTAACGGCCTTGAGTCCCGTCTACACCATGACATGGCTGGAGGAGCTGAAGCTCGAGTCACACATATTTAACGATTCAATGGTCTTGGGTATCAGCAATCTGACGGCTCTCCATTGACTCGGTTTGATCGGGACTCAGGTTATAGATGCTGGGCTCTCCCATTTGACATGCCTTGAGTCTCTCAAAGTCCTCCTTCTTTCTAGTAACATGAGTGCACCATACCATGCCGCAAGTCGTTGTTCATCAGGTGGCATGCTACATGTGGGGAAGTTGACGAACCTTGAAGCACTGGATATCAGTGCGTGTAATGTCACGGACGATGGGTTCGCTCATCTTGTGCCTCTAACAAATCTGACATGGCTCAGCCTGCCAACACACATCACTCAGCGGGCCATCAAGGAGCACCTAAAACTGTTCCGATCCCTCAAAACCATCTGGCTGAGGACTTGCTTTTAAGATTATCAATATGCCATTGAGTGCCTGAAGGCCCTTCTGTTTCTTGAGAAGGCTAGATTACCAGACCATGAGACAGTAGGTTGGGTTTCGAGATGCGGGCACCTTCCTAATGTGAACGTTTCTGCCTCCAGCTAGTTTGAGCCATATCCGGATGTCTTAGTGTGTAGAAATTCTTAGATTTGATCCAATACTGCATGAGAATATGATGTGATGTGATGTGTCATGTCCACACATGGGCTTCTTCTTAGTTTTGGCATCTGCAAACACTGCACAGTACCTTGTACGAGTTATGCTTCACTTCTACAGGAGATGTGAACTATGCTTTTACCTCGATGCAAATCCATATGGAATTGCTCTGTCTTTGTTTGGGACGCGAACCGTACCATATATCCAATAGTTGAGAATGAAAGCTAGATCTCCAAAAAAATACGGAGTTGGAAATCTCAGGGTACATTCCGCTTTGGACACTTTCTCAAAGAAAGTGTTCGAATCACTTTTTGCCCGAGTCGCCCTCAAATGTCTCGGAACCTCATGTCCCAATCAATAAATGTACTACGACCCTGCACGACCGCGCGACAATCATACGAGAAGGGCTGTGATTGGACCTTCGCGTAAGTGGACCACTCATTGTGACAAGGTTGGGGAAAGTGTATTGGGTCATGGCGGGAGATATGCGAGGAAGCTCTGTTTGACCAATCACGCTTCAGTGTACGAGTTGGATGGGAAAAAACGAACAGTAAAATCATGACCAGGTACATGCAGAGGGGATAGACATTTGGAGCCGCGTGCAATGGTAGGTCATTGTCACGCTAGTGTTCAATTAGCCCGCGACAGTTCCGTGGTTCACGCCAGCCAATCGAAAAAACGTTTTGCGACTTTGATGTGCGGTCCAAAATTTTGACACATGGCAGCATATGCTGTAAGTACGCGTCACAATCAACTCGGACACTTCCTAAGGGTACATGTCCAGAGCGGAATGTACCCTCAAAGTTAGTCAACAACGGAATGAATGAACCAGCAAAGTGTTGGATACAAATAGGAAACCCTAGCATCTGTACCCTCTAGAATGCATCTCACTACATCGCAGAACTATTATATTTGACACACCCCCATAGGCTAAGTGAGGGGCATCAAAACAAGCAAGGCAGACAAACGGTCACAAGGCCAGTCAAGACAAGAAGCAAGGCAAGCTCAAGGAGGATCTCAAGGATACCACACAAATTCCGAGCACAAGAAAGTGGCCACAAGGCCAGTGCATGAGTTCACTAAGATATATATAGGAAAACACAACAAGCAGAGCAAGTAACAAGTCCACAGCAACCGAGGGCCTACCTCAACAAGCCCCAACTGCACACAAAACCTGTGGTGTTCACCAAGCGCCAGGGCCTTGGTGAAGACGTCTGCAGTGTTGGCCTCTGAGGCCACAAAGTCCAGGCATGCTTGGCCGCATTGTTGCAGCTCTCGCAGGAGGAAGTACCTCACGTCAATATGCTTCACTCTGCTCTCCAGTCGAGGCTCTCGATAGAGGAGGATCATGGCCTTGTCAGCGTACAAGGTTGGTGCAGAGCGAGGCCGCTCACCAAGGTCGGCGAGCAAGAAAGTCAACCAGCGAAGCTCCTATGCCGCCATGGCACCAGCGTAGATCTCTGCCTCTACACTGGAAGTAGCCACAGATGACGACCGTGTAGACCTCCACGACAAAACACCAGCACCCAGACTGAAGTAGTAACCCCGAGTCGAGTGCTGAGTCTCCACGTCGTCAGCGTAGGAAGAGTCGCAGTGACCAGTCAACGCCACTGGCTGAGTCCCTCCAAGCACAAGCCCCATGCCTGATATAGTCGCCAGGTACTTTGCCACCCTCATAGCAGCTGTCCAGTGGACAGGGCGGTGTCTCCCAATCGCAGCAAAGCGAGAAAGTATGCTGAGGGGAAAGGCGAGGTCTGACCGAGTACAAGTCATCAGGTACATGAGGCAGCCCACCGGCTCTGCGTAGGGACCATTGGACTCAAAGGGCTCGTCGGGAAAGAGGGCAGTGAGTCTGTGGCCAATAGCAAGAGGTGTGGGCTGTGTGGTGGAGAATTGGAGGTCAAACCGCTGAAGGATCTGCTGCACCATGTGTGACTGAGTCAGTGTGATGGTGCGAGCGGCTCTATCCCTGGTGATCTGCAGGCCAAGGTAGCACTGCAGTTCACCTAGGTCAGTGCACTTGTGTCTCTTCTGCAGTTCGGACTTCACCTGCGCCTGCCCTGTCTGCTGTAGCAAAGACCAAGTTGTCGACGTACACTTTAATGTACTCGGGACTTCAGATCTTGTTACGAATGAACTTGCAGAGTGCGCAATATATCGAATAACGAGAATGAACTCAAAGAGCTGACGATACAATGAAAATGACGAGGCCTAAATAGGGGAAGTCCTAGCTAGGCGGGGAGGTTGGGCGAGGATGGCTCGGTGATGGTTGCGATTGGTGCGGAGGCGACTCGGGAGTGGTTCGGTGCGACGAAATAGGAAGGACAGGTTCGTCGCGTGACCCTCGGGATGGCCTCGCTAACGAGTGCCTCAGTAAGGATTCTGTAAATCCTTACAGATCTGTTCTCAGAGTTACCAACTGATAAGTAACCTTCACGAAACAGACTCTCAAACAGGCCTGTCGATTCAAGGGCATATGCCCTTAATGCCCTGAACATTCCGGGCTACTTTCGCTCCAGCTCGACTGCCAAAAGTGTTAGATTCGCACTACACCCGTGCCACTAAGTACCGCGCTCGACCCTTCCCCGGATGCGTTAAGGGCCCAAACTAGGCCTTCCCCTGTCTCGAAGTTTTGGTTTTTGGTTGTAGGACCCACCACCCCCCCAAATTCTGCCTGACCCCACCCCCTTTCTCCTTAGGTTCCACGAGAGGAGTGGATTTTTCCCTTAGCATTTTCTAGGCAATCCTGTGTTTGTAAAGCGTCTAAGTGTCCCCCCCCCCCCCGAACTGTCCCTTATTGTCTAAGTGACCCCCCCCCCTCCCCCCCGCCCTTTCCTCCTTGGGTTGCACGAGAGGAGTGGATTTTTCCTTGGCGTTTTCTAAGCCAGCTTGGAGCACCCGAATTTCCCCTTGGCGTATGAGTGTCCCCCCCCGCTCCCCACCTTTCTCCTTAGGTTGCACGAGAGGAGTGGATTTTTCCCTTAACATTTTCTAGCCATCCTGCGTTAGTAAAGTGTCTAAGTCAACTTGGAGCACCTGAATCCCTTAGCGTCTTTAAAGCCCAAGACCTGAATTACTCAACGGAAGTCAACGCTAAATACTAGGTTCGAGAGGCAGGCACGAAGAGGTTCGGTTGGGTTGCGAGAGACTTTCACTCGCGAAACCAATTTGCGACAAAAGTTTCTCGCTTCCCATGATGGGTGGGGTCCTTCCCACAACCAGAAAAGCGCGTGCATACCAAACTGTGCACAGTTTGAGACAGCACGCTGGGTATTAGGCATAGAGCATACCTGTAGACAGGGCAGGGCATCGGCGTTCACTCAAAAGGGATCAGATGCGCCTTATGATGTGGGTGGCGCCGATTTCGGTGATGACGCGCAAAGCTAGTGTTCGCTAGGTAAAGATTTTTGTGTCGAAATGCAGGTTATTGTGCAACTACTGCGTAGCGTAAACTCGCGGCGAAAATCAAATCGCACCTGTTCGCCCAAGCGTGACAATCCCCTCGCCCTCGCCTTCCTTTCCCTAGGTCACATGCATCCGCTCTCTGTCGCCGGCGTCGTCGCCATCGCTTCCGCAGCTCGTCGCGTTCGCGACCCCAGCCCGTCGCCTTCGATCCGCCCGTCGCCTTCACTTCCCCCCCCGTCGCCCCTACTCGCCCCCCTCCCCCCGCTCCGTTGCCTTCATTTCCCCCTCCCGTCGCCTTCACTTCCCCCTCTCGTCGCCTTCACTTCTCCCCCTCCCGTCGCCTTCACTTCCCCCCATCCCGTCGCCTTCACTTCCCCCCATCCCGTCGCCTTCACTTCCCCCCCGGAGTGTTCGCCTTCACTTCCCCCCCTCCCGTCGCCTTCTCTTCCCCTTCCCGTCGCCTTCTCTTCCCCTTCCTGTCGCCTTCTCTTCCCCCTCCCGTCGCCTTCAATTCCCCCTTCCGTCGCCTTCACTTCTCCCCCCCGATGCCTTCAATTCCCCCTCCGGTCGCCTTCCCCGCATGCCGCACTTGCTTTCCCGCCCTTCACACTTGCTTCCCCACCCGTCGCCTTCACTTCCCCTTCCATTGCCTTTCGCTCTCTCCCTGCTCACTCTCTTTCCCACTGCTCACTCTCTTCCCCCCTGCCCACTCTTTTTCCCACCCTTCACTCTCTCCTCTCCTGTTCACCCCCTGTTCTCACCCCTCTTCCTCCCTTCACTCAACCGTTCCCCCCTGCTCAACCTCTTTCCCTCTGCTCACTCTCTTCCCCCCTGCTCTCTCTCTTTAACCCGGCTCACACTCTCCCCCTCCCCCTCCCCCCACTCTCTTTCCCCCTGCTCACTCGCTTCCCCCCTCCTCAATCTCTTTCCCCTGCTCATTCTCTTTCCCTCTGCTCACTCCCCTTGTGCTCACTCCACTTTCCCCATTTCTCACCCATTTTCGCCTTCACGCTCTCTTACCCCCTCCGCTATCCCCTGTTTTCCCGGCTCACTCCTATACTCACTCTCTCCTCCCCTTCTCACTCACTTCCCCCCTGCTCACTCTCTTTCCCCTTGCTTACTCTCTTCCCCCCCTACTCACCTTCTTTCCCCGTGTTCTCACCCCTCTTTCCCCCTTTCTCACCCATTTCCCCCCTGCTCGGTCTATTTCCCCCCTGTGCTCGTTCCTAAATTCCCCTGCTGACTCCCTTACCCCCTGTATTCACCCATCGTTCCTATTTCCTCTTGTTCACTCTCTCCCCCTCTGCTCTCTCTCTTTCCCCCTGTACTCACCCATTTTCCAACCTTGTTTACTCTCTATTCCCCTTCATTCAACCCTTTTTCCCCCCCCAAGTCCTCTCATTTCCCCTGTTCACATCCCTCCTTAGCCCCATGCTTACGGGCTATCCCCTTTGCTTACCCCCTTCTCCACCCTGCTTACTCTCTTTCCCGCTTCGCTCACTTTGCCTAACTCCTCCCATACATGCCCTCCACCTTCACCCCTCGTGTATTCTACCATATCCCCTCTTCCCTCCCCGTTCCTTCCAAACCCATGCTTGTACAGGTTCCCAGGACCATGGGTCCCAACAGGAGTGGGTTGAAAAGTTACCAACTCCGGTAGCTTTGTGCTTGTGCTTATTTAGTCTTGTCTTGTCTTGTTTTGTGATGTGGTGTATTATGAGACGCATCCAACCAATATCAATAACAATACACTGTATAGCTATTGTAGACGACTAGTATCATCAAACCCTATACTCATCACGACTGGATGCATGGCAGACCTGCATAGACACGAACCACAAACTCTGATGCACGGTGGGGAACAAAGAATGCACGGAGGCAGAAAATGAGCAAGGGAGACACGGAGGAAGGGCGGATGAGATGATGGGCGGATGAGATGATGGGGGGATGAGATGATGGGCGGATGAGATGATGGGGGGATGAGATGATGGGGGGATGAGATGATGGGGGGATGAGATGATGGGGGGATGAGATGATGGGCGGATGAGATGATGGGCGGATGAGATGATGGGGGGATGAGAAGATGGGGGGATGAGATGATGGGGGGATGAGATGATGGGCGGATGAGATGATGGGGGGATGAGATGATGGGCGGATGAGATGATGGGGGGATGTGATGATGGGGGGATGAGATGATGGGGGGATGAGATGATGGGGGGATGAGATGATGGGCGGATGAGATGATGGGGGGATGAGATGATGGGCGGATGAGATGATAGGGGGGATGAGATGATGGGGGGATGAGATGATGGGGGGATGAGATGATGGGCGGATGAGATGGAGGACGGGAGGAAGGGAGGACGGGAGGAAGGGAGGACGGACAACAGAGAGGGTAAAGAGGGTAGTGAGGCAAAGAGATGGAGGAAGGGAGGAAGGGAGAGGGAGGGGAGGACGGCTGAGGGGGAACGACGGAACGGAGTAAGGGAGGAGGGCAAGAGGTAAAAGTGTGGCAGGGTATAAGGGGGATAGGAGGATCCCTGCACCCTCTCTCCCTCATCCCCGCCTCCCCCGCTCCCCTAACCCGCCCCCTGCAGCACTGCACTCCTTGCTGCCCGCCTGCGCGCGCTGCCCTGGCTGTGCCCCCAACACTCTGCTCCAAAGCCTCATCACCACCTCCCATGCGTGCGGGGTCGGTGCGAGAGAGGAGAGGAGGTCAGTGCAAGAGAGAAAAGGGTGGGTGCTGCTGACCACGCACCCTTCCACACCCCACAGCGAACGAGCCACGACCCCTTTCCCAGCTCCCAGCCCAGCCCGCCATACCTCCCCGCCCAGGGTGGGTGAGAGGCTGATGGGGAGGGAGAATGTGAAGAAGGAAATAAGGGTGCAAGGGTGGGGTGGTCACCATGGGCGATGGTAGGAGTAGAGAAGGTGGTAATAGGGAAGGAGTACAACGATGACCCTAAATGCGATGGGAAGGGATGAGAGGGTGGAGACGCGACGGTGAAGAGGGGGAACGTGATAGGCAGGGGAGTGATGACGACGTGGAGAGAGGTGGGAGAGAAGGGAGGTCGACGGTGGGAGGAAGAGGACGACGGTGGGAGGAAGCGTGGCTGATGAGAGGGGAAGCGTGGGAGAAGGTAGGGGGAAGCGTGAGCGACGATGGGTGGGAGCGTAAGCGACAGTGGGGGAAAGCGAGGGCGACGGTGAAGGTGGTGACGGGAGGGGGAGCATGGGCAACGACGGAATGAAGTGTGAGCGACAGCGGGAGGAAGCGTGGGCGACGGTGGGGCGAAGCGTGGGGGACGCGGAAAGCGATAGACAACATAGGAGGAGAGCGATCGGAGACGTAAAAGTAGCGACATCGGGCACGGCGACGTCGACGAGAGGAAGCGTGGGTGACGGGACGTGACGTCGACGAAGAAGCGCGGGAGTGGGCATAAAGCTGAGGCAAACATAGGGCGAATGCGCAGGAAATGACAGCGATCGACAGTACGATTCTTATCGATCTCGGAGAGGGAGATGCATGCGCCGCAAACTGGCGTTTGCGCAGTCGCACAGGGTTTCGACGACGATGCTGAGTAATAATCGGGCCCATCGCAACACTCTGATCATCATACATAATTGGTTTCTCCGTCTTATTTTTTTGTGGAGTGGCCTCCGGCTTCATTGGCTCCTCTGTTCTACCTAAGAGTGCGTGCGTGCGTGAGTGTCTTAGCTTGACCTGAATTACAACTATTTTCGAACTGTCAACAGCCTAGCTCTATTCCCTTGGGGAGAGAGCGGTTGGGACTCTCGCCAACCAGATCTGTGCTGCTCCATGACTCCCTGCTTTTTTGCGTGGTGTTTTTTGGTAACCAGAGAGGCTCGGAAGTCAACTGTGGGCTCGGGAGGCAAACTGTGCACAGTTTGCCTTCTTTTTTTTGTAATTCAGGTCTTGGGCTTTAAGTGCCGCCCCCCCCCCCCCCCCCCCCCCCCCCCCCCTCCCTTTCTCCTTAGGTTGCACGAGAGGAGTGGATTTTTCCCTTAGCGTTTTCTAGCCATCCCGTGTTTGAAAGTCAGCTTTAGAGCACCCAAAATTTCCCTTCGCGTCTAAGTGCAAACTCTTCACAGGCCCGGATTTTAAGTTTTCACTTTGGGGTGCGCCCGTGACCGTTAAGGGCGCCCAAACGCTCAGCTACACCAAAAACGGGGTCAGATGGGGAGGAGCTGGGGAGCGCAAGTATGGGACCCAGGAACTTCGACAGGCCTGCTCTCAAAGTTCCGAGGTAGAATCCATGGCGGCCTTGTCACTTTCAGCATGAAACTTAGCGAACTGGATTCTGGGTCTTGCTGCTCAATTGATCTAGAGTTCCCAAGGAATCAAGGGTGTCTCAGTTGGAGTGCGCTGGAGATGAAGAGTTCATCCCTCTTTGCCGCTTTGAACCAGGCGAAAACGTTGGGATTCGACAGCACACCAACTTGAGCTCGACGATGGGTGGTGAAAGGAATCCTGGTCTGGTACATTTGAGCGAAACTGAACCAACACAGCCCTTCGTTCCGGTCAGTGCGTTCAAGTTCGCTCTTTTTCGTAGATCACGTTAGTGATTTCACGATGCCGACTTTTGCAAGATCATGTTACCACCAGGGTCAAAACGCCGTGCAGAAATTCCGACACTGTGCGCTGGTTACCCGAAGGAACTGACCTGGTTCAGTCTTCTGTGCGTGTGGACTGGCTCCTGTCGACGAAGGAACATCCACACTTGCTGCCATTGCTTAGTTTCGAGCAGCGTCGAAACTGGCAGCTTATTCTTGGAATATGTGTTGACCTTGCTTTAGGCACCAAAAAGCGAGAGGCGTAAGAGCACGATGGGGAAGAAGCCAACTGATTTTTCACACGGAAATGGGCTGGATGTAACCGAAACCGCGAGAATGGAAAAGCATGCAGCCAGGGCTGCCTTATTTGTAGAAAGAGGAAGCGCATCATCAGGCGAAGCAACACTAGCAACGCGATACTCTGCTGACCCAGGCACGCGATTCCCAGCGACGGAAGATTCGCAACCTGCCAATTCAATGTTAACGATCTCATTAAGGACGGAATCGAACGAAGCAGCATTGATCGGGTCAGCCGCATCACTACCCGCTACTGTTACATCAGCAAACGGTCCTCCCCCAACAGAAGCATTATCAGAATCAGAATCGGCGCGCTCGTCGGCAATACCGAGGGCCGTATTAGATCATTCGCCCGCGCACAGCCTCCCCCAGCCTCACATCGCCCCGCAGGGAAGCAGCACCGCTGTCGCCCCAGCCCCGGCTATCCGTCGCCCGGGATATTTTGCTACAAGATCCGAACTCGGTATAAGCTCAGACCTCGGTATAATCTCGGAATCAGGCCCAAACGGTTACGGTACACTATCGGAATTAGGCCCAGGCGGCCCAAATCCAACCACCAGCACGCAGGCAGCGGCGAATGGAAAACAAAACCCATTCGGTACAGTCACATCCGCAGGCGCCGCTGCAGCCGTGGCTGCGTTACAAGCACGCAAGCACTGGGTGAGCAGGGTACAGGAAGGGTTACCCCAGGCGGCGGTGGTGGTGCTGCGGGTGCTGGTGGTGGTGGCGGCTGCTTGGAGCGCGTGTGCTGTGATGTTCTTTTCCCTCGTTATAATGCCCTGGGTTATGCTCCACCTCTCCACCTCCTCCCACCCGCACTTCCGCGCCCTTCGCTTCAATCACACCCCCGTTGAGGCGCTTTCAGCTGCTGCAGGGGAGAAAGGACAAGGAAGCGGAGGAGAAGGAGGAGGGAAAGTAGGAGGGATTGTGGGGGGGAGTGGGTGGGGAGTGAGAAAGGGGGAGGTGTGGAGGCCGAGGAGGGGAGAGGGGGTGTGTGAGCTGGGGAGAGGGGATTGGCAGATGGAGAGGGAGGGATATCCGCTGTACGCAGCAGAAGACTGTCCCTTCATTAGTGGCACATTCAACTGCCTGGTGAGGAGGGAGGGTGAGTGATCTTTGAGCAGAATGAAAAGGGTGTATAGGGTTAACGGGTGTATAATATCCGTTTTTTGCAGCAGAAGAGTGTATGTTTCTCAATAAAACATTCAACTGTCTGGTGAGGAGAGATTGTGAGCCTTGAGTTGATTCATAATGGTATCGATTTTGTTATTTGAAGCAGGAGATTGTTCCTTCGTTAGTGAAACATTGAATTCCTGTGAGGGTAGCTTTGCAGTGACTTTGACTATCTCCAATTCGCCTGGCGAGAGAGCGAGCGCATCCCTTCGTCGTTAGTTTGTTGCTTTTCTCCTCGTCCCTCTTCCATCCCCCCATCCCAACTCCCCCCCTCCTCTTCCCTCTCTGCTTCCGCTGCCTCCCCGCCCCCCCCGTCCCCCAGGACAACAGCTGCACGGACTTTGACTATCTCCGCTTTGCCTGGAGGGAGAACGAGTGCGCCCACCCATTCACCCACCCACCTCCCTCTCCCCTCCCCCCGTCCCCCAGGAATGGCCGAACAGGCTTTGACTATCTCCACTTTGCCTGGCGAGAGAGCGAGTGCGCCCACCCGTTCACCCTCACGCACGCCCCCCTCTCCCACCCCCATCTCCAACCGCAGGAGAATGGCCGTACCGACTTTGACTATCTGCATTTCGCCTGGAGAGAGAGCGACTGCGCCCACCCGTTCACTCGCTTCCGAGCGGATCGCTTCTTCGAGGCCTTCCAGAACCGTCGGATCGTGTTCGTGGGCGACTCTACACTGTTGTCGGTACGGTCCATTTAAAGATTCTATGCGGCCCCGCAATAGTCGATTCTGCGGGTCACTCTCTGCATGTCTCTCGATATGTTCAATTTCAGTGTAATCTCTGTCCCTGGTTTCTTTCCTTCCCCTTCCCCCTCATTCGTTTGCTCCATCCATCCATCCATCCATCCATCCATCCATCCATCCATCCATCCATCCATCCATCCATCCATCCATCCATCCATCCATCCATCCATCCATCCATCCATCCATCCATCCATCCATCCATCCATCCATCCATCCATCAGCTTTTCAGCTCGCTCTTTGACCTCTGCCCATCACCACCACTCATCTCTAACCACCATAACATCTCCCCCTGCCCATCTCCACTCCCCTCTCTTATTTTCTCTCTCCCTCGATCCCTTGCTTGCAGATGTTCCAGTCGCTGCTCTGCCTGCTCTCAGTGGGTCCCTCCCTCCCACCCAATCACAGCATGCCAACAGAGCGACTCAACCGCACCTTCCCCTCCCTCCTCCACCCCCCTTCCTCGTCTCCATCCCTTCTATCCTCCTACTCCTCCTCTCCCCTCACCTCCTCCTCATCCTCATCCTCAGCTGCTTCCCCTGCAGGCTCCAAGTCCCAAGCCTCCACTCCTCTAGTATTCCAATACACATTCCCTCATGCCAACACAAGCCTTGACTTTTTCCACTCTGACTTTCTAACCGTCCTGGAATCCGCCCCTTCACATGCTCCTGGGCAATCAGATACACCTGCCCCAGACACGCCTCCTGCTAGTATGGCTGTTCCAGATACGCCTAATCCTTCATTGACCAAGAATATGCCTGAGGGCATCAATAACAGCAGTATTACTGCCACCAATATCGTTGCTAGCTTTGGTAGCAGTAGCAACGCAGGCATTGGCAGAAGTCTTCTCACAGATACTTCTGAAACCACCCAGGAGCCAGGTTCGGATGGGTTGAATGCGGTGGAGCTGGGTTCGGACAGGTCAGGTGCAGCAAAGCCAAGTTCGGAGGGGTTGGGAGCGGTGAGAGTGGTGCGGCTGGATGCGTGGGCGGCATATGTGGTGGCAGCACAGCCGCATGTGCTGGTGATTCACACGGGAGGCGCGTGGGTGGGGTTGCAGCATCGATGGCAGGAGCATAGGGCGCGAATACATGCTTCTCAGGAGGGGCAGAAGGGGCAGGAGGGGCAGGAAGGGCAGGAGGGGCAGAGTGCAGCGAATGAATCAAAGGTTTTTGCTGCTGTGGCTGGTAAAGGAGTTGAGGGAGGGATGCGTGAGGAGAAAGTGGGAGCAGAAGGCAAGGTGGAGGTTGGTGGGGGAAAGAGGAAGGCTGGAGGGGGAAAGGGGGAGCCTGGTGGGGGAAAAGGGGAGGTTGGTGGGGGAAATTGGAAGGCTGGAGGGGGAAAGGGGGAGCCTGGTGGGGGAAAGGGGGAGCCTGGTGGGGGAAAAGGGGAGGTTGGTGGGGGAAAGGGGAAGGCTGGAGGGGGAAATGGGGAGCCTGGTGGGGGAAAAGGGGAGGTTGGTGGGGGAAAGGGGAAGGCTGGTGGGGGAAAAGGGGAGCCTGGTGGGGGAACTGGGGGGAATGGCGGGGGGAATAAGGGGACGGGTGAAAAGGCGAAGGGAAAGGGTGGGGGGAAGAAGGGGAATGGTGGGGAGAAGAGGGGGAATGGTGGGGAGAAGAAGGGGAGTGGCGGGGAGAAGAAGGGGAGTGGAGGGGAGAATAGGGGGAATGGTGGGGAGAATAGGGGGAATGGTGGGGAGAATAGGGGGAATGGTGGGGAGAATAAGGGGAATGGTGGGGGGAATAGGGGGAATGGCGGGGAGAATAGGGGGAATGGTGGAGAGAATAAGGGGAATGGCAGGGAGAATAGGGGGAATGGTGGAGAGAATAAGGGGAATGGTGGGGAGAAGAAGGGGAATGGTGGAGGGAAGAAGGGGAATGGTGGAGGGAAGAAGGGGAATGGTGGAGGGAAGAAGGGGAATGGTGGAGGGAAGAAGGGAAACAGTGGGGGAAATGGAGTCGATGGTTGGAAAAACAAAGGTAGCGGTGGTGGTAAACAGGGCAATGGCGGGGGCTATCAGGGCAATGGCGGGGGCTATCAGGGCAATGGCGGGGGCTATCAGGGCAGTGGCGGGGGCTATCAGGGCAATGGCGGGGGCTATCAGGGCAATGGCGGGGGCTATCAGGGCAGATGGCGGGGGAAATCAGGGCAACGGTGGGGGGAGCAAGGAGGCCGGTCAGGGAAATGACGGGGGGAATGGGGGCAAGGGTGGGGGGAGCAAGGAGGTCGGTCAGGGAAACCAAGGGAATGGTGCGGGAAGAAAGGGGAACAGTGTGGGGGATAACAAAATCAGTGCGGGAAGCAAAGGGAATGGTGGGATGGCATTGGGAGACAATAGTAAAGCTGGGCAGAAAGGAGGCGGGACAGGAAAGCAGGCAGGCAGTGAGATGAAGAAAGCGGGAGGGAAAGGGGAGAGCAGTGGTGATAAGGCGAAGGAGAAACGCAAGGCTGTGGCAGAGGTGCAAAAAACGGGTGGACGAGGGGGAGGAGGAGGGAAGGTTGAGAGATTGAGGAAGGCTGGAGGTCAAAAAGGAATCAAGGAAGGTGAGAGAAGACGATGGGAAAAGCAGGAGCCTGGGTCTGGGGGACAGGGTAAGCAAGGCAAGGGGCAAAAAAGGCAAGGCAAGGGGCAAGGGAAGCAAGGAGAGGGGAAGCGGCAGAAGGTTGGGGAAAAAGTGGAGGAGGGGGTGATGAAGCAGGGTGGTGATAATGGTGGCCAGACAGCCAGTGGAGGAGGAGGAGGGGACACCACGAGTGGTTCTCAGACTGATCCGTTTGCAGGAGGGGAGTTGCGAATGGGCGACTTCGGTGATGATGATGCCATTCTGCAGGGTGACAGTATTGAGAATGACAGTAGCAGCAGTGGCAGCAGCGTTTCAAACAGCAGCAACAGCACAACCAGCAACGGTTTCACTACCAGCAGTCCCGGTAGCACTACCAGCAACGTCCAGAGCAGCAATAATAAGAGTCTTAGTAACCTCAGCATCAACCCCTCTAACATCGGCAGTGGGGGTGCCAGGGACAGCCACAAGGAGGGGAGGAAGGGGGGGGAGAGGAGTAAGAGGGGGAGGGGGAGGATTGGCAAGTGGCTGTGGCGGCACCGGCACCTGCTGAGCTTCCCAGAAAGCACAGAGAGTGTCCATAGGGAAGACGATGAAAGTGATTCTTTTCGTTCCCACATGCCTCTGATTCTGACTCCCATGCCACATGTTGACTCACCTGCGAGTGCAGGCAACATGTCGATACTTGATGGAATGGACGGTGCGGATGAAGCAGGGTCCCTTGGTAGCATGGACGGATCAGATGCAGCGGAGGGGGGTTCAGGTGAGGCAGTGGGTGGATCGAAATTGGAGGAAGGTGATGTGAGATTAGAGGAGGAGGAGCAGCAGACAGGCGGAAGCTTTATGGCGGATGAAGCTGACATAGTCCTAGAGGAAATGTCCGAAGCGAGCTCTTCAGTCGGTCGGGGCAGCTTCCTTGATGAGGATAGGCCGGTGGAAAATGATGAAGTGCCGGAGCAGCAGCAGCAGCAGGGCGGGAGTGTCATGGCGGACGAAGCTGACCAAGTCCAAGAGGAGATGTCTCAAGGTAGACTCTCAGAAGGAGAAGTGATGCCTTCAGTCAATCAAGTTACGTTTGATGAGGAGGGTGAAGCGGCGAAAGAGGATGCAGTGCAGGAGAAGGATAACGAATCTCATGTTGTTACAGGTGCAGAGAATGACAAGGAAGTTCGTGGGGAGGATGTGCATAACGAGGCTGCTAATAAGGAGGATGAGTCACCTGGAGGGCCTAGTGTGCTCCCACCTAACCTGCTTGACTCGGTTGACTTTCTTGACCCGGTAGCAGCATTCACCAAGACCCTGCGCATGCTGCACCACTTCCTCTCCTCCCAACCCACCGCCGAATCCCTCCCAACTTTCTTTCTCGGGCTGCCCCGAGAACATTATTTCCGGGCAGACCAGGGCAACCATACCTCGCTCTGCCTGCCAGACGACGTCACATGTAAAGAAAACGGACAGTGTAGCTTGTTTTCGAGGCCGAGAGAGTGGTTGGAAGAGGGAGGGGAGGAGCAGGCACACCAGCAACGGTGGCAGCGGTGGCGGTGGCGGCAGGAGAGGGAGAGGAGGGAAAGGAGGGAGTGGGTGCACTCGAGTGTGGGGCAGATGGAAAGGGTGGTTGAGAGGGAGATTGGGATGGCAGACAGGGTTGTGTTGCTGCAAGCAGGGGGGTTAACTGATGCTCGTGTTGATGCTCATGTGGGCTCTTCCCTCCCTGCAGAAATGCGTGTGGGGGAGACAAAAAAGGAAGATTGCAGTCACTTTTGTGTGCCTGGAGTGCCGGACACATGGAATGAGATGTTAGTTGCTGCGCTAAGACTACAGGAAATGATGACGTAACAACGAATTGTAACAGTACAGGTGGCATTATGCGTTGTGCCATATGGTGAAACGAAGAGTGAGTGTCATAATCGTGTATTGCATTCATCCATTTGATTACATAGACGTAACAAAAGGAGAGCACATTGAAAACAATACAAGGAGAGCAGGATATTCTATACCTCGAAGGGTTGGTGAAATCTTCACTTGAAAATTCGTGTAAAAGCCAATTTTGTATTCAAAGCTTTTTATAGCGAATCGCAACTGGTGACGCTTCAGCAATCTTTCCCGCCAAAACCCCCATGGCTGCCCGCATGTTGCGCTAACGCGCGCTGATTGTATCCGCATGTGGGCATTTTCTTTCTTTCGACGAGGCCGCCTTCGCGATACCCTCTTCTCGCGTCGCGCTTAGTTCCATAGCTTCGCTGTGAGGTATTGACCTGTCGTTACAGTCACAAGCTTGTATCACCGTTGCCGACCGGAACGAGATTCCACCTTTATTGCACTGCGCAAGATACAATTACCTCTCAATTCGCAACATTTCGTGTAAATCATAACCATTTGGTACCTGGTGGTTACCCAGTGGTTACCACTACCAGCCTATCGGTTCGCCGTCGCCGCTGCTATCTGGTTATCTTCGAGCGACAACTAGCTTACCGTGTACTCCTCCGTCCCAGCACCAGACTGCCTAAGAGTCCTCCGATGTTATAGGTAGTACCGACTTGCTGTCTGCATTCCTATGTGCAACTAATTTAGTTACGGGGTTCGTTCAGACGGTGGCGAAAACAGCCGAATCGAATCCGCGATTGAAATCGTTCATCGTTTCGCTGACTCTCGAATCTGCGACCGCGTGAATAGAGTCGATTTTTGAGTCGACTCACGTGAATAGAGTCGATTTCTGAGTCGACTCAAAAATCGACTCTATTCATCGTTTCGCTGACTCTCGAATCGGCGACCGTGAATCCTGCGACGTCTTTGAGTTTCTGAGTTTCCTCACCTCAAAGTCTTCTATTCCGAGCCTTGTAGTCTCCGAACCTCCCAAGTTTCCAAGCCTCCGACTGTGAGGCTCGGGTCCAATGGGTCGGTCGAGGGGAGCCGGGGAGGAGGACCACGCCCCTAGTGGGGGCTCGAGGTGAGGGGGTGCTCTGTGCGGTGGATGGTATGTTGCTGGTGCGATTAACGGATCAGCTAATAGGGGAGACAGGGAGGAGGATCACACTCCTAGTGAGGGTTCCAGGTGAGGGTTGCTGTGTGTTGCTGGTGCTAGTAACGGTTGAGCTAATGGGGAATATAAGTAGGGAAGAGGATCACGCTCCTGGTGGGGGTTCTAGGTAAGGTGGTGCTCTGTGCGGTGGATGGTATGTTGCTGGTGCGAGTAACGGATGAGGTAATAGGGGAGCCGGGGAGGAGGATCACGCCTCTAGAGGGGGTTCGATTCGAGGTGAGGGGTGCTGTGTGCTCTGGTGCTAGTAACGGTTGAGTTAATGGGTAAGATAAGATCACACTCTGGTGGATGGTATGTTGCTGGCAGGACGCTGTGGGCGGGGGGAGCTGGGTTTGCATCTTTCCTTTCTACCCCTCACCTCCCCTTTTTCCCACTCACCCTTTCCTCTGCAAACCCTCCCAACTCCCATGCCCCCTTCTCCTTCCCCCAGACCCAAGCGCCGCCGCTATGCCACCACAAGCTGGCAGGACGCCGTGGGTGGGGGGAGCAGCGGGGGGGGAGGCGCAGGGGCGGGGGGGGAGGGCGCAGGCGCAGCAGCAGGGGGAGGCGGGGGGGGACCCGGGGGAGGCGGGGGAGCGGGGGGAACAGGGGGGGGAGCGCGGAAGGGGGTGTATCATTGCAACTACTGTCACAGGGATGTGACGGGGGAGGTGCGCGTGAAGTGTGCGGCGTGTGTGGACTTTGACCTCTGCGCTGAATGCTTCTCCGTGGGCGCCGCTGCTCACCCGCACTCTGCCTCCCACCCGTATCACGTTATGGTGAGTGTGGAGAAGGGACGGGGGGGAAGGGGGAGGAGGAGGGTGATGGAAAGGGAGGGGGAAAGGGAAAGGCGCTGCTCCTTACCCCCACTCTTCCTCCCACCCCTACCACATCACGTGAGCAGGAGAGGGGAGGGAGAGGAGGGGGAGGGGGAGGGGGAGTGCGAGGGAGAGGGAGAGGGAGAAGGGTCAGGGGAGGGGGAGGGGGAGGGGAAGGGGGAGGGGGAGGGGGAGGGGGAGGGGAGGGGGAGGAGGGTGAGGGGGGTGGGGAGGGGGAGGGGGAGGGGAGGGGGAGGGGGAGGGGGAGGGGAGGGAGAGGGGGGGGTGGGAAGTTGAAGCGAGCGTGGTAAGGGGCACGGGATTCACAAGCGAGGGAGGAGAGGGTTTAGGGAGGGGATGGGGAAAGAGGGAAGGGGAGGGGGAAGGGGGAAAGACGGGCAGACAGGAAGAGAAAAGGTGGGCAGACGGGGAATGGGAAGGTGGGCAGACTGGAAGTGGAAAGGTGGGCAGACAGGGAGTGGGAAAGTAGGCACACTTGGAGTGGAAAGGTGGGCAGACAGGGACTTCTCACTCCCTGTCTGCCCACCTTTCCACTCCCAGTCTGTCCACCTTCTCACTCCCCGTCTGCCCACCTTCCCACTCCCAGTTTGTCCACCTTTCTAGTTCCCCTCACTTTGTTCAGCACTCTCTCTTATCCAATTGGTCCATCAGGCTCGTGTTTTCATGGTTTCATGTTCTCCTGCTCCCGACCAATTTGACATGCGTTAACTCTGCATGAACGCATTCTGACTGTGCGCCACCAACCGCACCAGGACACCATGAGCTTCCCTCTCGTGCATGAGGACTGGACTGCTGACGAGGAGATGCTGCTGCTCGAGGTGAGCCACGCTGCCTTGTTTACCGTTAAGGTTCATTGTAGAATGGCAATTGGGAGAAGGTGGCAGGGCATTCTCGTGAATGAGTCTGCTTTTGAGTCGACTCAAAAGCAGAAAAGGGGGAGAGGCAATCAGTGAGTCTGCTTTTGAGTCGACTCACAAGCAGAGCATGTTCCACGGGCATGTGCGTGAATGTTTCTTGGGCTTCTAAGAGCACCTCTTGTTGTGCGGGTCAGCCAACCCCTCTACCTCTCTTCCCTGTCTCCCTAATTCTTTCCCCCCCCTTACCTCCTCTCTCCCCCCTTTCACACCAACCCACAGGCGCTGGAGATGTACAGAATGGGCAACTGGGGGGAAGATTGCAGAGCACGTGGTGATGATATTTCTTCTTACCCGCTCTCCCATCTTCTTCTCCTCTCCATATCCTTCCCCCTCATACCGAATTACCACCCACCCCACCCACACCAGCCCACAGGCCCTCGAGATGCACGGAATGGGCAACTGGGGGGAGGTTGTGGAGCACGTGGGTTGCGGAGCACGTGGGTTGAGGATAACTCTCCGGTCTTTCTCCCTTCCCCCCTTCTTCTCCTCCCTCTCACGTGCCTCTCTCCGTGCCTCCTCAGGCGCTGGAGATGTACGAAATGGGCAACTGGGGGGAGGTTGCGGAGCACGTGGGATAGCCCCCTCGCTACCTCCTCGTCCCTCCCTCCTCCGCTCCCCGCCTTCATTTCTGTACGTCCCCTTTCCCCACATGAACTTCAGGCGCTGGAGATGTACGGAATGGGCAACTGGGGGGAGATTGCGGAGCACGTGGGGTCAAAGAGCAAGACACAGTGCCACGACCACTACCTCTACGACTACCTGCTGTCACCCACCGGGCCCTTGCCTGTGAGTAGTAGAACCGTGTAGCCTTGTGTGCATGTGCGTATGTGTGGTAGTGTGGGCATGTGAAGAGCAAGGCGCAGTGCCACGACCACTACCTCTATGTTTACCTGCTCACACCACAGCCCCTGCCTGTGAGTTGACTCTGTAACCACATATCCTTGTGGGCATGTGGGCATGTGGGAAATGCTTACTGCTACATTCACTAACTCTACGACTGCCTGCTGTTGCCCTGTGACCCTCTGCCAGCAGTCCCACTTCTTTCCGTAATCCCAGGAACCAGTTTTTCCCTCCCTTGTCCCTTCCTCGTCCCTCCTTTGTCTGGTCCCTCCTGTTTCCCTGCTTCTCTTTCTAGGATCTATCTCGCCTGCGCACGCAAGCAGACACGGAAGCAGCCAAGGCGGCAATGAAGGAGCAGGAGGCGGCAGAGACTGCAGCGAGGGCGCAGGAGGCAGTTCTGTTCAGCGTTCCTGTGGTCAAGTGAGTGCCTGTTGAGTCCACAAAAATCCTTATGTACACCTCACTGCAAGTGCAAGAGGCAACTCAGTTCAGCATTCCCAGGCAGGTCAAGGGAGTGTTGAGGATGGAGTGTCATGAAGTGGTGAATTGAGCCGAGTGCTGCTGACATGGTGTCAGCACCACTTCAATGACACTCAGCTTCATTGACATGGTGTCAAGTCAAGTGAGTGCTTCCGACGTGTAGGGAGGGTGTTTTTGAGACGTCCCAAAAACACCCTCTCTACACTCGGCTTGATTGACATGGTGTCAAGTGAGTGCTTCCCCAACCGAGTGCATACAAACAACCCTGTGTCAACCTTTTGAAGATATCTTAAAACGCATTTCAGTGGTCGAGTGGTTGAACATTCCTTGAGTCCAGTGCGTGGAGGGTTTCAAGGTGACTATTGAGTCGACTCAAGAGTCACCTAGTCGAGTGCATGGAGGTTTTCAAGCCTATCATCTCCGTCGCCACAGGCCTGAGCCTGGCACCAAGACAGGCGATGCTGGTGTGGTGTGGCGCCAATCACGAGCGGGTACAATACAACGCCAAGCACAACGAGTTTGACCCGGAATAGGACAACGAGGCAGAGGCACCGCTGGTAGAGCCAGTAGCAAGCCGGGGCTTCTGTGTTAACTCACTGACAAGTCACCTCGGCTCTTGAATCAACTCAAAAGGTCTCCTCTTTGCTTCTCTTTCCTCCCTGTTGGCCGTTATCCCCCACCACAGACCCGAACCAGGCACCAAGGCAGACGACGCTGCGGCACCAATCACAAGCGGGTACAACACGAAGCGCAACGAGTTTGATCCGGAATACGACAACGAGGCCGAGGCACCGCTGGCAGAGCTGGAATTCAAGGATTCCGATTCAAGTGTGGATAGACAACTGAAGATCAAGATGCTGCACATCTACTACTCCAGGTGTGTGGGGTTCGGCTGATTGATGCGTATTGAGCGTGACAAAGATTTTCCCTTGCACGGTCTACCCCCACTCCGCCTCCCGCTCTCCCCCTCTCCTCCCCTCCTCCCTTCTGTTCTACAGGCTGGAAGAGCGGTTCTGGCGCAAGGCCTTCATCCGTTTTTGAGTCGGCTCAAAACCAGAACCTTCCCCTCTCCCCTCTCCCCCAACCCTCTCTTCAGACTGGAAGAGCGGTCTCGGCGCAAGGCCTTCATCTTGGAACGTGGCCTGCTAGACCCGAGACGAGAAGAATGGACGGAGCAAGGCTGGGAAACCACCTTTACTGACATAGCATCATCTCTCCCCATTCTCCCTCCCTGCGTCAGGCTGGAAGAGCGGTCACGGCGCAAGGCCTTCATCTTGGAGCGTGGTCTGCTGGACCCGAGAAGAGTTGTCACTCACGCACCATCATTCCACTGCATTTCCTTCTCGCTCCTCCCGTCTCCCCTCTCCCCCCACCCCTCTCCCCTTCAGGCTGGAAGAGCGGTCAAGACGCAAGGCCTTCATCTTGGAGCGTGGCCTGCTGGACCCGAGAAGAGTGGACGGAACGATCCGACCCGAAACCACCACCGGCAGCAGGGAGAGAGTTAGGGACCGGGACAGGACAGATGAACAACACAAGAGAGAGGATGGTGCGGAACAGGGAGGGGAGAGGGAAAGGGGAACTCTGGGGGAGGTGGGGGCAGAAGCGGGAGAGGGTGGGGTGGAGAAGGGGGAAGGGGGAGGGAAGCGCGGAGGGAAGCGAGGAGGCGGTGGGGAGAGGAGAAGGTCGAAGGAGGAGAGGGAGATGTTTCTGCGGTGCCGCGTGTTTGCGCGATTTCTCAGTGCAGAGGAGCATGAGGGGCTGGTGCAGAGCCTTACCCAGGCGCAGAGACTCAGAGACAGAGTGGCCGTGCTGCAGGTGAGGCTTCTAGTTTGTCTGAAATAGCACCTAGTAGTCCTGATCTGACGCTCAAAGGAGCATGAAAGGCTGCTGCAGAGCCTTACCCAGGCGCAGAGACTCAGAGGTAGAGTGGCCGTGCTGCAGGCGAGAGAAGCTTTCGTGGGGGTGAGTGGTCGGTCGGTCGGAAAGAGAAGCAGCACTAGGAGGAGGAGCTGGTGCAGAGCCTCACCCAGGTGCAGCGACGCAGAGACAGAGTGGTCGTGCTGCAGGTTCAGTGCTTCTGGCATTCGCTGGTTGCAATTCGCTGGCAGAGGGCCGTCGGTTCACTTAGGCTCACTACGAGGACAAACCCGCCCGTAGTGGTGCCCCTGCTGCTTCTATTGTACTCTCTTCTATTACTTTCCCAACCCCTTTAGGAGCTGAGAGCAGCGGGGTGCAAGTCACTGGCGGAGGGCCGTCGGTTCATTCAAGCACATTACAAGGACAACCCCGCTGCTGCTGCTGCTCCTCTTAACGTACTCTCTTTTTATCCTCTCCCATCAACAACAGGAGTTGAGAGCAGCGGGGTGCAAGTCTCTAGCAGAGGGTCGTAGGTTCATCCAGGCGCATTACAAGGACAACCCCGCCGCTGCCGCTGCTGCTATTGCATGCCTTCCACCCTCCGCCACAGGTGTGTTACCCACTCTCTGTCACAGGTGTGTGAAAGCTAGCTAGCACCAACACATGTATCGCAGTCAGTGCCACAAGGACAACCCCGCTGCCGCTGCTGTTGCTGCTGCTGCAATTGCACTCACAGCCAATGGCGTAGCACGATCAGCAAGAGATCCCATTTTCTCATCGCCTCGTGCTCCGTCTTCCCTGCTTGTTCTTCTCCATTCTGCCACTTTTCCCTCTCCCTCTTTGCTCCCTTGCCACTTGCGCCACCAGCCATCAGCACAGCATCATCAGGAGGCGCTTCAGCAGCTCTTGACATCTCCTCCCACCCTGGATGCGACCTGCTGTCACCCAAGGTGAGAGGTTCATTCCCAATATATTATTTCGCTCTAATCGGGTTGCGCTCTAATCATATTGCGCTATGATGATATCTGCCAAGGTGAGATCACAAGGGCGGGTATCTTCCTACCATCTACATGCCTCCCATTCTCCTTTCCATGCTGCCTTCATGCCTCTCGGTGTTGTTGTGACTGCTCCGCTCTGCCTCCAAACCGTTTCATCTTTCTTCTGTTGACTCCTCCTTTCTATTCAGTCCATGCTTCAAAGCAAACCTCTTCCCTTCCTCACAACCTCCCTTCTCTCCTCCCTCTAACACATGTGTCCACTTGCTGTCCTTCCACTTGTGCATGTCTTCCGGATCACGACAAACAACGCCAAACTCTGCCATCCGCTCAGGAGCGTGAGCTGTGCACGCACATGCGCCTGCTGCCAGCTCACTACCTTCGAGCCAAGCAGGTGAGTTTGGTGAAGAAGGTTTGACTTTGATGCACGCAATTCCGGCCTCAGAACTTGGCTGCCAGCACACTACCTCCGCGCCAAGCAGGTGAGATTCGTGTGCTGGGCCACTACCTTAGTGTGCTGCTAAATCGCCTAGTGTGTGTGTGTGTGTGTGTGTGTGTGTGTGTGTGTGTGTGTGTGTGTGTGTGTGTGTGTGTGTGTGTGTGTGTGTGTGTGCGCGTGCGCGTGCGTGTGCGTTGTGTGTGCGTGTGTGCGTGCGTGCGTGCGTGCGTGTGTGCGTGCGTGAGCACGCGCGTGTGTGTGTATGATGTCTCTTTTAAGGAACTTAAAGAGTGTGTACACTCATTAGTATTAGCTGTGTATGCACACGCGCGCACGGCACGCTGCCAGCACACTACCTCCGAACCAAGCAGGTGAGGTTCTTTGTGTAGGCGTGTGAGGAGCCTAAATGAGGCCACACTGACCGCATGCCTAAACTCTTGACTGCTGCCGACACACTACCTCCGGGCCAAGCACGTGAGAATCTTATTGTAGCTTTGTGTATGACCAGTCTACTAAGTAGGCTCAAGAGGGCCAAACAGGTTAGCTTGTTAAGACTTGTCTAAGGGCCTGCTTCAACCACCCACGTCACAAGCAGAAGTGCACCGACCCTTTTCCCTGCGCAATCCACCACTGACAAGATGTGTGTGCCCTGCCTCGTTTCTCACGCCAACCATTCTCCCACCCATCCATCAGTTCATCTTGCAACAAGCAGCGCTCCCAGGAGGGACCTTCTCAGGAGCAGCAGTGCACAGTTCCGTCTTCCTCCAGCCACCATTGACACCATGTGCCCTGTCTTCTCTCCCTTCGGCCACCCCTTCTACCTCCCATCCGGTCATCCTACGGCAAGCAGCGATGTCAGGGGAAACCATTTCACGAGCAGCGGTGCACCGACTTTTCCAGCCTGCCCCTTGCCACCATTCACATCATGTACCCTTCCATCCCCTCCTTCCGTCCCGCCCATTTTATCAGGTTATCTTGCAGCAAGCAGCCCTCTCAGGGGGGACCATCTCACGAGCAGCAGTGCCACCGACTCTTCCGCCTGCCCCCGCCATCACTGACGGCATGTTCCTTGCGTTTTCTCCCTACATCCCCCCATCCCCCATCCCCTCTCCCCCATCGGAACAGGTTATTTTGCAGCAAGCAGCCCTGTCGGGAGGGGCCATTTCACGAGCAGCAGTGCATCGACTCTTCCGCCTGCCCCCTGCCACCACTGACGCAATCTTTAGACTCCTGCTGGGGGCTAGCTGGATAGCTGAAGCTGGGGGGAACAGTTCTGGTGGGGGGATGGGAGGGGCGATGGAAGGGGGGATGGTGAAGCAAGAGGGCATGTGAGATCAGGTTGCCCCCTGCCGCCACTGACGTAGATTTCAGGCATTTGCCAGGGGCTGGCTGAATAGCTGAAGCTGCCGGTTTGGGTGGTGGTGAAGCAAGCAACATCTAATTGCCAAAGCCACTGTGTACTCACATCTACTGGTATCAGTAAGTGTTTTTCTGTGTTCTGAGGTGTATCAATTGCTAAATTCCTAGAATGTTCACATTCTTGGTGGTTGATAGCAAGACATCAGTGGATTGATTGTACCGAAACCTAGACATCAAGTCGCAATGTGCAATCCTATAGAGAAATTCCACAAGGTTTTGTCCCCCATACATGTTGACGAGCAGCGGGGAATACGCTGCCAGGTTCACGCCTAATCCACGCCTTCTTCATGCCTTCCGTATTTTCTCCTTGTTCACGCCTTATTTACGCCTTGTTTATGCCATCCTCTTGCCTGAAGAGCAGCGAAAATGACGAACCTGGCGAGACGCGTCGTACGCCCAGCGCGAATAATAATCTGTTTTTCGCTCAGATGGGCTGTGGGCTGGTTGTAAAGTCCGCACGGCGGGGATTTGGAATGGTTGCTGCTCTCGCGGATCCAGGTTCTTCTTCGTCGCGTCTCTCGGGCAAAGTTTCGCCGACGTCGAGAAAGAATAAGTACCGTCGAAATCTAGTTTCCTCATGCAAAAGTTATCGTTTTTGCTGATCATTCTCCTCACCAAGCTCGTCGGCTCACCCTCTTGCCAACAAGCGAGTCGAGTTCACAATGGCGACGGCAACTGCAAGGCTTCTGGAGGAGATTATGAGTGTAGGGACAAAGATAGCCGTTCGATTCGATGATGCAAGGAGGGAGTTGGAAGCGGAACAGCGACAGAGAATTTTTTGGGAAATCATGGAGAGCCTAATTTTGACTGATAGATTGGAAAAGCTAGAGAAACTTTTAAAAGATACGAGGGAGGAGAGCATCGACAGCATAAACGAGCTCAAGAATGAGTTAGCAGCTGAGAAGGCTGCAAGGGTGGAAAAGGAAAAGGAGGTGGCTGCATTGACAGTGCGACTCTCGCATGCAGAGGAATCTCTGTCGCATCAGAAGGAAGAAACGAGCCAGATTTGGGAGGTGAGCCGAAACATCTCCAAGCATGTTACCCAAGCGCAAACCATACGATGCCCACTCACCCCATGTGTAACGTTTTTTTTTTTTCTACGATGTGCTTGTTCTAGGCGATTTCACGGACTTTGTGTCAGTCACCGACTGGTACGATTCCTCAGGATAAAGGACAATTTATAAGGACCGTTTTTTTTGGGCCCACCGAAGCGCGCCCCGAGGCGCGATTTTTTTTAGCGACCCCTCGGGTCGCCATTTCCCCTGTGGCCCCGCCGCCTCCACTGACGCGGCCCCGCCGCCCTCCCTTACGCGGCCCCGTCGCCGGCTCTCACGCGGCCCCGCCGCCGGCTCTGTCGCGGCCCCGCCCCGGCCTTTACGCGGCCTCGCTGCCTGCTCTCACGCGGCCCCGCCCCGGCTCCTACGCGGCCCCGCCCCGGCTTTCACGCGGCCCCGCCGACGACTCTGTCGCGGCCCCGCCCAGGCCCTTACGCGGCCCCGCCGCCTACTCTCACGCGGCCCCGCCCCGGCTCCTACACGGCCCCACCGCCGGCTCTCCTACGGCCCCGCCGTCGGCTCTCACGCGGCCCCGCCCCGGCTCCTACGCGGCCCCGCCCCGGCTTTCACGCGGCCCCGCCGACGGCTCTGTCGCGGCCCCGCCCCGGCTTTCACGCGGCCCCACTGACGGCTCTGTCGCGGCCCCGCCCCGGCTCTTCCGTGGCCCCGTCCCGGCTCTTACGCGGCCCCTGCCCCGGCTCTCACGCGGCCCTGCCGCCGGCTCTCTTGCGGCCCCGCCCCGGCCCTCACGCGGCCCCTGCCCCGGCTCTCACGCGGCCCCGCCGCCGGCTCTTTTGCGGCCCCGCCGCCGGCTCAGAAGCGGCCCCGCCCCGGCTCTCACGCGGCCCCGCCGCTGGCCCTCACGAGGCCCCGCCCCGGCTCTCTCACGCGGCCCCGCCGCCACACCTGCAGCAGTCGGGCAGCAGTGCAGCCGAACCGCCCGGGAGCCGAGCCGCCCAACGCCCGAGCCGCCCTGTCGCCGAGCCGCCCGGGACCCGAGCCGCCCTGCACCCGAGCCGCCCGGGAGCCGAGCCGCCCTGCACCCGAGCCGCCCGGGAGCCGAGCCGCCCTGCACCCGAGCCGCCCTGCCGCCGAGCCGCCCGGGAGCCGAGCCGCCCTGCGCCCGAGCCGCCCTGCCGCCGAGCCGCCCGGGAGCCGAGCCGCTGTGCACCCGAGCCGCCCGGTCGCCGAGCCGCCTTTCTGCAGAGCTGCACGACCTGCCCTGCCTGGTGAGCACAGTCCCACTGTCACTGCGAGCTCTTTCCCTACTGCTTGCACTGCTTCGCTGTCGTCGCCATGGCTACCCCTAGTGTCCTAGCTTTTGACGCTGAGGGTCGCGCCATTGATTTTGAGGTCTGGTTAGACGACCTGTAGCTGTTCTTACAGTGCGACAGGGCTGACGGCCTTTCTCTCTTTGACCTCACCTCTCGCGCCTCTCCTGCTCCTGCTGCTGATGCTGATCCCACTGTCCGCTCTCAGTGGGCCACCCGCGATGCTGCTGCACGTCTTGCTGTGCGTCGCCACCTCCCTACCTCTGAGCGTGCACACTTTAGTCAGTACAAGAGTGCTCAGACCTTGTACGACGCTGTAGTTGCGCGCTACTCCTCCCCTGCCACTGCTGCACTGAGCCGTCTCATGCTTCCCTACCTCTTTCCTGACCTCTTTGCCTTTCCCACTGTCGCTGACCTCATTACGCACCTCCGCACTAGTGACACTCGCTACCGCGCCGCCCTTCCTGCTGAGTTCTGCGCTAAGAACCCACCCCCCATGTACATCGCTCTCTACTACGTAGTCGCGCGTCTCCCTGACTCCCTTCGCGTAGTCAGGGACCACTTTCTCGCAGTCTGTCCCACCACCCTCACCGTCGACCTCCTCGAGAAGGCCCTCCTCGCAGCAGAGAAGAGCATCGTCGCTGTAGGTGCTTCTCGTGGTGACCCTCGCACCCCCATCTTTGAGGGGTGCTCTCCTTCCCCCTTGCTGCCCTCTGTTGCCTCTGCTGCTGCTGCCGACCTGCTTGGTCTTGAGTCGGTCGGCGCGGCGTCTGCCCCTAGTGGGAGACGTCGCTCCAGCAAGGGCAAGGGGGGCAAGGGCGCGGGTGGAGCTGGAGGGGGCGGTGGCGGTGGCGGCGGTGGCGGCGGAGGGAGTGGGGGTGGCGGCGGGACTAGTGGCGGGGGTGGTGGTGGTGGTGGCAGCAGCGGCGGAGACGGTGGTGGTGGTGGCAGCGGTGGTGGTGGAGGCAGCGGCGGAGGTGGAGGCGGCGGAGGTGGAGGCGGTGGAGGCGGCAGCGGAGGAGGCGGTGGTGGTGGAGGAGGTGGAGCTGGTCGGGGTGGTACCCAGCAGCGTAGCGGCGGTGGTGGTGGCCAGCGCTCGCAGCGGCAGCAGCACCAGCGCTCGCGGGACATCCCTCCGCCTCAGCAGCTTCGTGAGTGGTACGCTGGGCGTCAGAGGGGTGGGGGTACTGGTCCCTGCACCTACGTTCTTCGTTCCGGCGACCGCGCGGGTGAGTAGTGTGGGGGTGCCCACTCCACCCAGCGCTGCTTTGGCCGCCTGACGGACGCTTGGCGTCAGCAGTTCCCCGGGGCTAGTGAGATCCCCCGCTGGGATGAGCTCCTTAGGGCTGGTGTAGCGATCTTTGATCTTGATTTTGATGCTATCCTTGCTGCTATGTATGCTGTGACTTATAGTGAGGAGAATGAGGGTTACCGGTGTTTCCAGCCCGACCCGGGCATTGGTACTGCTGCGCTAGGTGCTTGTGAGGCTGCTGCTCTAGGTGCCAGTGCGTCTGCGCTCTCAGGTACTGGTGAGACTGCGCTCTCAGGTACTGCGTCGCCCTTGTCCTCCCTCACTTTCACACTTGACTCCGGGGCTTCTCGCTCCTTCTTTCGAGACCGCACTACCCTTACGCCGCTTGGCCGGCCGGTTGCGGTCTCCCTTGCTGACCCCTCTGGGGTTCCTGTCCTGTCTCACTTCTCCACTGTCCTCCCGTGTCCGGCTGCCCCTTCGGGCACCCTGTCTGGTCTGTACCTTCCCTCGTTCTCTACGAACTTGGTGAGTGGTGCAGCCCTGCAGGATGCGGGGGTTCACCAGTTCACTCCTGCGAGTCAGCGGGTGACCCACTGCACGGACGCACGCACAGGCCGACACCTGGCCACCTTCTCGCATCGGCTGGGGTCGAGTCTCTACACCCTGACCACTTTGTCTCCTCCTGTCCCTGCGTCCGGTCAGGTAGCTGCGTCAGGTCAGGTGCTTGCTGCTGCGTCCCGGTCAGGTCCTGAGTCTGCCCCCTGCTCGTGTCGCCTCCTGTCTCACGAGACTCTCCTGTGGCACCACCGTCTTGGCCACCCCTCCTTGCCCTGTCTTCGGAGCATGGCTTCCCGTGTCCTTGTCTCTGGTCTTCCCCAGTCTCTCCCTCCTCTCCCCTCCGGGCCAGGACCTTCCTGTGTCCCCTGTGACGAGGGTCGCCTCCGGGCTACTCCTCACTCCTCCCACTTCCCCCCGACAGAGGCTCCTCTGCAGACGCTTCACATGGATGTGTGGGGCCCAGCCCCCGTCCGTGGGCAGGGTCACGAGCGCTACTTCCTGTTGGTGGTTGACGACTACTCGCGTTACACCACAGTCCTCCCCTTGCGCAGCAAGGGTGCGGTCACTGAGGTGCTGATCGACTGGATCCGCGAGACTCGTCTCCAGCTCAGGAAGAGCTTCGGCTCAGACTTTCCTGTTCTGCGTCTGCACTCGGATAAAGGCGGAGAGTTCTCCTCTCGCCTTCTGCGAGACTACTGTCGTGCACGGGGGATCCGCCAGACCTTCACGCTTCCGGACTCCCCACAGCAAAATGGGATTGCTGAGCGCCGCATTGGC